TTCTTATTCCAATAATGATATCCAACTGCCACTCCAGCGCCAACCACCAATGTAACTGGCAAAACAGTCGTTCCAAGAGCCACAGCTCCTATTCATCCAAATCGAAATTCGTCAACCCAATTATATAATTCAAACAAATTCAATCAATCAATCAAACAAACAAATAATTTAAATTTACCTGTAGCACCAACTGACTGCAATCCAGCCACAAAACTACCAGCAGCCACATTTCCTGCAGCACTCATCATGCCAGCTGCTGTCGTTCCAGCCACCACTCCACCCGATCCAAAACCCAATGATGAAGCAACGAGTGGCACACCTACATAGGTGGTGGCTCCTGCAACTGTTGCTCCGATGGTTCCTGCACCGACTGTTCCCAACAGGTTGTTTGATTCTTGTTGTTGTGTTGGAGGAGTTTCGGTTTGTGTCTTGTTGTCGGTTGAGTTTTGAACCATTGTTTCATTCATTTTTATTTGGTTTGTGGTTTTCCAGAATTTGCGAATGTTGCGGAAAGTAATGAAAGATTTGGATCATATTACTCTGAGGTTAACGAAATACACTTGTCCTCTAGTGCTTTAGCATAAATTCTCTTTTGGATGTTTAGTGGAAATAGATAGTGGATCAACAATGATATTGGAATTTTCAATGTATGAATGATTCATTTCCATAAATTCATCTGCTGCTACAATTGGTGTGGATCTACCAGACTGAGCTGTACTCTCTAAGTTGATTAATATGGTATGAAGTTAATTGGAAATAATTTCTTGAATTTGTAACGTTAAATAATGGCAGAGATTTCAAGATTGATCTTCTCCTTTGTTGTGTCTTGGTTATGTTAATACAAGAAAGCAAACAAGTTGTTGACTTGTTCCATTGTTGTAAAGAACAGCACCGAGGTTGTTGGAATACTTTCATCTTCATTAAAAACAATACAACTGTTTCAAACATCTGAGAAGTGTAGAATAATGTTCAACATAAACCAAGTTGTGTAATCTGTTGAAAAGGGAAGATTGCCCAATTTAAATACTTGAATAGAAGAATGATTATCATCCCATCTATAGGATTGTACTTGTTTGAACAACAATTTCTTCCAAGTTTTCCTTTTTAAGTATATTTTTTAACTTAGATATTAGTTTTTTTGAAAATTGCTGAATCCGATTCCAATAATATAAAAGAATATATATTAATGTACAGAGATTATTTCAAAGAGATTAGACCAATTACCATACTTTCCACCATGATTTACTCGAATTTCCACTATTACTATTATCATTCTTCTTATTTTCATCAATTGTTGATGTTGTGTTGTCACCTTTCTTATTCCAATAGTGATATCCAGCCACTATACCAACAGCCACACTTCCACTATTATCATTCTCTTCATTTGTCTTATCAATTGTTGATGTTGTGCTGTCACCTTTCTTATGAAAACCTGTAGCACCAACTGACTGCAATCCAGCCACCAAACTACCAGCAGGAACCACATTTCCTTCAGCAGCACTCATCATGCCAACTGCTGTC